GGTAAGAATGCCTGCCCAGCGCTGTGTGTCTGGCTTGCGTTGAGCCGGCATCCAGCTGTGCAGGCATGAACCACGGCAACCCTCCATTCCTCGCACACCCCCCACGCAGTGTGCGCCCGTCAAGGCTTTGACCAAGTCATGCTCCAAGGCTGGCGCGACCGCCCTAATGGACCAGCTGTGCAGCGAGCTGCTGGCACCCGCCAACGCAACCACCGACAGCAAGGTGCGTGCCGACACACGCGCGCGCGCACGCACACACACACACACACACACACACAGGCCAATGCGTGCGCATAACAATCTTGTGCATGGGCAGGTGTGTGTTAGTTGCGTGCTGGTGTGGCAGCAAGCAAACACGACAATGCAGTGGTGACGTGCTCGATTGTTTGTCGCGTGAGAGCACCTGCAGCCCCTCCAGCACCTCCTCTAGACAACTCGCCCATCAACATGTTGCAAGGATGTCCTGATCGCCACGCTGGTTGCTTTGCACTTGGAACGGCCGTCACACTCCCATTCCCCCAGGACCCCACCAAGCTGCGCTATGGCTGTGGCGTGGCAACCGCCGCACAAGTCGACAAGGTGTCCAGTGACAGCTCTTGAGCCCAAAGTCACCGCCGCCGCTGCCCAGGCCACCTCTCTGCAGGCCACCTTCGTCCAGGGAAGCAACCAGACAGCTGCGCTGCGCGCACAGGTGGACGAGCTCAAAGCGACGGTTGCGGCGCTCAGCACCCTGGTGCAAAAGCTGCAGTCAAACGCGGCCAACGCCACTATCCCGGGGACCATCACTCAGGAGCTCGCCGCCCTCGCCGCGGCTGACACGCTCACCGCCCAGAAGCTGGCCCTGCTGGAGGCGGCAAACCAGACCGCGGCCCAGGATATTGCGGCGCTCAAGACCTCTTCGCAGCAATGCGCTTGCGGCTCCGAGCTGTCGGCCGTCAACACCTCCCTAGCCGCCATCCAGTCGGTCCAGGCGGCAAACGCGGTGGCAGTCTCCCTGGCCAACACCACCGTGGAGTCTCTGAAGGCCACAGTCACCACAGGCGCGGTGGCCATCGCATCGGTCAACACCAGCCTCGCCGCCCTCGCAGCCACTGTGGCCAATGTGTCTGCGATTGACTTCAGCATCTACGCGAAAACCACGGACCTGGCCAACATCAACGCAGCCAGGCTGGGGGGCGTGCCTGCCGCTCAGTACCTGCGCGCGCGGGTGGTGATCTACCGTGAATCTTCGACAGACAGGACCGGAAATCTTGGTGGCCGGTCTGGTGCCGACGCATTATGCAGCACCTCCACCAACCGGCCGACAGGGCTCACCCAGGTGCACGCGTTCCTATCGACGTCGGCAACCGACCAGATTGCCGATTTTCCAACAAAGTACGGCGTCCCAACCGGCCTGGCAATCGAGGCGCCGAGCGGCGCAGTTTTGGCTCCCAACTTTACAAGCATGCTGGGAGGCCTCTTGCTGTCCTTGAGGGATGCGGGCGTGTTTGCAACTGACACTCGTTTTTGGTCTGGCAGTACGCCAGGTGGAGTGGCTGGAAGTAATTGCCTTGGGTTCACAGTTACCGCCTTGCCCTGCTGCTCCGTCGCGGGCAGGAGTGGGATATCTTTCACTAATAATTCCACCTGGATACAACTTGGCGCATCTATGTGCGACACACTCAATTCTGTTCTGTGCATTGCTTACTAATACCATGAATGTGATGGCGATGTCATCACGACGTCTCAGGAAGCATGCAGCGCGGCACTCATTGAGGCTGCAAGCAGGTGCAGCCTGCTGGTTCGATCTGCACATGTATGCGCATATGTCTGTTGGGCTTATTTACCCTATAGCACAAAAACAGGCCCGGCGCTGCTGCACACATGTGCTCGGACGCCGCTGGTGGGCGGGTTTGCTATGTGAATATCTGTGTGTCATCCACTGAACCACTTGCGTGGTCCACCAACTGCTGTCCCACTTTCAGCAGAGCTTGTTGATGTATCACTGGGTCCCCAAATTTCTGATGCGCTATCGCGGCGGTTTGACAAACTCATGCACTCTGTCTGTGTACCCTTTCACTCAGCAGCTTGCCACACGCGCGTACGCCCTTGCGCCCTCTGCAGACCATGTGGCGCCCGCTGCGCACGTATGCTGACAGTACGCACCTGCCAGGCGCTGCCTTGTGTTCCACTTTGGCTTGAAAGGCCGATGATACTGCTGCGTGCATCTTTATGAATCATTTGCGGTGCAGCAGGGTTATGATAGATTCATCGCTCTAGGAAGGCCAGTAACCTGATGTGTGGGCGCAGCCGGAGTTTGCATTGCAGGGCGAGTCGACTAACTGACCTCAACGATGCATCTGGGCAGCTAGGACGATTGCAGCTGCATTACCACAGGGCTGGTGTGGCGCTCGAACTTGTGGTGCAAGCCTACACCGCCGCAACCGACGCTGCTTTTGCATCACAAGTCATCATAAGTGGTTGTGACGTTTCCTGATGCGATCATTAGGCGAGATCATCGCCCTGATCGATTTTTTTCCTCGGGACGCCATCTGGGTCGCCCGCGGCCGCGGCGGCCGAGGTGGTGGCAGCGGTGGCACCCCGGCGCGGCGTGCTCGGCTTGGGGGTCTGTGGCGCGGCGGGCGCTCAGGCGCGTCCGCCGCCTGGTCCGTGAGGCTGGCGGGCGGCGGTGGGCGCTGGGCTTTGCGTGAAGCATTGTGCCCAGGTGGGGGCCCGGAGCGCGTTGAGTCTGGTTGTATGTTTGATCAGACGAGCGCTATGCAGCAACCATTCGTTCACGTCAACCTAGAAAGCTGACTGACAGGCGCAACGCCTGCCAAGGATGCCGCTGGTCAGGCAATGCTGGCGGTGTGCGACAGTCCCGCCGAGCAGCGGCATGGACACAGGTGAGGGGGTGACGCAGGGGATATGGGGTCGCCACACATTGGTGTTGACCGCCTCGAGGCTCTAGAGAACAGGCGTGGGGCTTGGTTGGGACGCTCATCAGTGGTGGGTTAATCAGCCAGGCGACCCTTTCAGCAAAATCCGGCTCTCATCTGGGGCGCGGGCCATGGATACAGGCAGATCGCTGGACAGCACCACCCATCCAGGTCCACACCAGGCCACCACATGGGCGGCTACGATGCGTCCAGAACGCAATAAAACCATCTGTCAACAAAGCGCATACACATTCGTGTGGTGGCCGTGGCAGCACTAGGCACGCAAATGCTCAGACTCATCTTGGCCCTCTCACCAGAAAAGTTACACTGCATCTCACCATGAACCCCTGCACAGACGCACGTACGACCGTCATGGACTAATGAATCTTTGAGTACTGAATTACGGCATCATCGGGCGCACCCCACCTTGTTACTGGTTCGATCGCTCACTGGCAGCCTGCAGTCTCGCCCGTAGCAGCCCGCGGGTATCAAATATTAATGTGTTTCAAAATTACGGTTGACACGTATCTGCGTTCGCGCGTGCCTGGTCCTGTCCCAGCTCAGCGGCGGTGTTACCGTTCGTCAGCGAGAAGGCTTATTTCGCTGATGGGGGTGTAGCAACGCTCGCTGGTGGCCTCTGGCCTCAGTGAAATGTGCTCCACGCCATGTGGCGGACCAGCCTTGCCGCTTGGCTACGCGCTGGCGCACCTGGGATGCGCAGGTGAGCGCGCGCTGCTGGCGACGCCGCTCGCGCCGCCGCGCGCACCCCGCTGCCCCTGCCTGTGGCCCGCGGCGGAGCACCTATCAGGTATGTCCGGCATTCCCCAGTAACAAATCCCACAGCCCTCTTGTCCATTCTGCGCCGGCAAACCCGCGCCGTGAATGCACACGCCGGACTCGACTCGCGTCTGATTTTGTGCACCGCACCCCGCCCCTTCCACCCCCGGTGTGCGGGCCGCAGCTGTGGCGGCGGTGCTGCTGCCGCTGGCGCTCGGGCTGTGCAGGCGCCTACACTTTGCGCAGGTGCTGCAGCTGCTAATCGCGTCGCAGGCGCTGTGCTACCTGCTAGCGCCATGTGACGCCGGCCCCGCGGGCGGCGGCGGCGGCAGGGGCGGCGGCGGCGGCGGCGGGTGGCGGCTGCAACCTGCTGCGGTCTACGCAATCGGGTGAGCAAGGCTGCATACGTGCGTATGCGTGCGCATTGCATGAACATTCCTCAGGCTGCGCCGCCCGCCCTTGCGATGAGCAGCTGCTGCCGTTTCACCCGCCGTGCTCCACTGTCCGCACCCGCGCCCCGAATCCGTGGCCCCGCAGGGCGGCCGGCTGCGCCGCGGCGCTGCTGCAGGTGGCGTCGATGGTGCTCAGCTGGTGCTCGGGCGCGTGCGGCACGCTGGGGCTGGCGGATGGGCTGTTCAATGCGGCACACGTCGCGGCGGCGCTGGCGGTCGGCGGCGGGGTGCACCTGGGATGGGATGTGCTGCTGCTGCACTTCGGCGTCGTACCAGGTGGGTGGCGGGTTGGTGGTGCGTCCGCGCCTGTGTGCGGGGGAAGGGGAGGGCGTCCGAAGGGGAGGGCGTCCGAAGACGCAAGCAACCCGGCTTGCAGCTGGTCGGCGCGGGTCAAACGCGGCGAGGCAGTGCATGCACACCTGCATGCAGATGCACACGCGCGCCGACGTGGCCGGTGAGGGAGCAGGCGCAGAGCTGGCAGCACAATACCGCCTGGTGCTGCTCCCAAAAGAACAGCTGCTGCTTCTGCTGCCGCCGCTACGGTGCTGCCTCCGCCGCTGCCGCCCGCGCGACGGCCCTCTACACTCTTGACACCCTGCCCCACAGCATTTGGTTCGCCGCTGGCGTACGCCTGGGACCTGGGGGCCATGGTCGCAACGCTGGCGCTGATGTGGCTGCTGACTGGATTCGGCTGGCGCCACGTGCGGCTCAAGACGCTGGCGGTCGCGTTTGTCGTAAGCGAGGGGCTGCTCGTCATGCTCAGGTGGGTGCGGTCGGAACGATACAGGGAAGACCAGGGTCCAGGGGCGAGGGGGCTGCGGATCATGCTGGGGTGGGTGCGGGCGGAATGATGCCTGGGAAGGGGACGACCAGGGGCGAGAGGGGGCGCCGCCCCGCGCAGCCTGCGCCGCCGTCTCTAGGGAGGCTGAGAGCCCGTAGGTGAGGGCGTGGGGTGACCCGCACCCATAATCAACTGCGGGTTCCCTTCACAAGAGTGTGCGCTGAGCCTCGGCTGCTGGGCATTCGCGTCATTTCGGCGTGCTCGCGAGTTTGGCGCTTGGGGCGGTGACGCGAGGCGTTGCCTGCACGTTTAGGGCTAGGCCGCGGGCTGGGCGGCGGCGTCTCGCACCCCCAGCGCCGGTCTGCGGAGTTGCCGCGGCCGCGCCTGCGGCGCCGACGCCGGATCGCTGCGGCGGCCGCGGCGGCGCTCGCCCTGCCGGCGTCTGCTGGCCAGCCGCCGACCTTGATCTGCTCACAACCCGCTTGGGGCCCAAGGGCCGCCCGGTCGTCGGAGCCAAAGCCCAACACCCCCAGGTCACAAGCATCCCAAATCATCAACACAAAGAAACCTCCCACACACCCTGTGCCCCTCCACCAGGCTGGCCACCAAGGCGCAGTCGATCTACGTCTACAGCTCATACATTGTGCCCCTGATTCAAATCCTCATGTACATCGTGGTCGGCCACCTAGAGCGCCTCGACACGCGCCCCCCGCGCCCTGTTGGCCCGCTCGCGTGGCTATTCTGCCGGCCCCGCGCCAAAGCCCGCGGCAAGGGGCGCGGGCGGGGCCGGGGCGCGCTCGAGCTGCCGCGGCGCGCCCCGGCGGCGAGCGAGGGCGGCGGCGGCGGCGGCGGCGGCGGGCGGGAATCAAAGTCGTCGCCGCGGGTGCGGGCGGCTCTGGGGGGCGAGAAGCCGGGCCGCGCGGCTGGGCCGGAGGGGCCGGAGGCGGAGGGGGCTGTGGCGCTGGAGGACGTCCTGGCGGGTGAGCGCGCAGATCTGATCCGGTCAAATAAGATCTGAGATGATCTTGACTTGCTGAGCAGGCAGGCGCGATATGTCCTGTCTCAAGTGTGGCTTTGGCAGGTGTTCCCGGGCCCAGCTCCAGGCCTGCTGGGAACAAATGACACTCTTCAAGCCATTTGATCCCCAGGGGGAGGCGGATCAATTGAAGTGGCGGCGTTTATGGGGCCGCCAGGCGTTGATTGATCCACGGCCCCCTGCCTGGCGGGCCGCCTCGATGTGTCGTGCGTCGAACCTGAGCGTTCACTCATTCGAACACACTAGAAACACATGCACGCGCACACATGCACACACAAAACATGCGCGCACACCTTGCTCCGCAGTCTGCCGCCTGCCGGCCCTGTGCAAGCTCTACGCGCTGCACATGGGCCCCCGTGCGCGCCCCGGCGCGGACGACGCCGGCACGGCGGGCTCCTTCCGGCTGGACTTTAAATCCGGGGAGGAGGACAGGCAAGTCTTTTTGTTTTGTTGTTGGTTGTGATGTGTGGGTCTGCTATATGTGTGGGTCTGGATGGAACCCCCCTTGTGGCTTCTTACGAGGTGTGTCCTGGGGTAATGGTTTTTGATGTGCAGTCTTGGGGGAGAGCCACGACCTTCATTCAGCAATCAGGCAACGCGCGTGGCGGGGTCATCTCTGCACATCAGAGTCTGGCCCGCCGCAATACAATTGCGCACGGTTGCGGGCAGCGGGTTGCTGATCTGGATTTTCAGGGGGCGTGTGACTGGGATGCTCCTTGACTTGAGGGGAAGGGTTGGCGCGCGGGGAAGGGCAAGAGGACAGGAGGGTGCAGCTTCTAGTGATACAGAAACCATGGTGCGCCCATTTCGACCACTCGGCGCCACCAAACGCCGCTGCCCCAAGGCATCACATCACCTGCATCGCCTCCTCTGACCCCCCACACCCCCCGCAGGAAGTGGGGGCTCTATTGGGGGGAGCAGATGCTGCTGGGCAGCTCCCTGGGCGACGCTTCCGGCCCGGCCGCCTCCTCCGCCACCGCCCTCATGGGTCGGTTCCCCGCCTCATACGCCGAGCCCGCCGCCGCCGGCGCCGCCCCCGGCGCCGCCCCCGCGGCCGCCGGCGCGTCGCCGGCGGGCTCCAACTCCGAGAACCTCCGAGCCGCCGCCGCCGCCGCTACCAGCGCCGCCGCGGCCGCGCCTGCGGCGGCGCCGCAGGCCGACCCCGCCACGCTGGCGGCGCTCGAGGGCTGCATCAATCGGATCCGGCCCCTGGCCGCTTTCCAGCAGGACAGGGACCGCCGGCGGCGCCCCGTCGGCGCGCACGTGCCGCTGCTGCTGCACCCAATGATAGACGAGCCTTCCTGCCATGCGGCTCTCGAGACTGTCTACACCACTGTCACCGCCGGCCAGGCGCGCGCGCTGTGGCCGCTGCTGCCGAAGG